GTTAACCAACAAACTAAAAATAATATATATAGAAAAAAATAAGAGCGACGCGACCTTGTTCACTATGAAACAGGGAAAAAAATAAACGTGATTCAAGCACAAAACCGGGAGTCAAGATTTCGTTTTGGTACTTTTGATACTGATAAATACAAACAGTTTTGATATTTTGGATAACAAACCAAATTGAAAAAAAAATCATCCGTTGTTCCAATTCTGTGAAATCCATTTCTTCAATTATAAATTTCTCTAGACTAATATTGGGAGTGCGAATTAATTCGTGCGGTTTTTTTTTTTGAAAATTGAAGCTTTATTTCGAAAAAATGTTTATACATTCAATGTTCAAAGTATTGTCCATCGCTAGACACTACATTCTGCCATCTTTCTGGCAACTTATGGATTCCATTCCGGAAAAACTGTGCCGGCTTGGCGGCCAAAAACGTGTCAAGCCAATTTTTGATTCCTTGAACGTGTTCCGGTGAGGGCATTCTGCATGGATCGAAACAAGTGGTAGTCGGAAGGAGCAAGGTCTGGGCTATAAGGGAGGTGGGGTAGAACATGCCATCCGACGTTCTCCACGTAATTTTTGACTGGTTGAGTGCGATGAGACCGAGCATTGTCATCATGAAATATTATGAACTCGTGTCTGGTCGCATATTCCGGCCGTTTTGTTTTGATTGCTGCGTTCAATTTGATCAGTTGTCGTCGACAGAGTTTGACTTATCCGCCAGATATATGCTATGGCATAAAAAAAATATGCGCATATTTTTGGTACATTTGGATTTTGTGACTAACTTACCATGTAAATTCATGTGCATTCCACGATTTTTTGTGGATCCCATGATATTTTGTCCCAAATTCGTGGTATCCATATGAATTTACATGGTAAGTTAGTCACAAAATCCGAATGTACCAAAAATATGCGCATATTTTTTTTATGCCATAGCATATATCTGGCAGATAAGTCAAACTCTGGTCGTCGATAGCGTTCACCATTGATGGTTTCACTAGGTTTTAGCAGCTCATAGTAGAGCACTCCCTTCTGATCCCACCAAATACGGTGATTTTACCTTCAAGCGCGTATTGGACCACAAAGATCTCGGCGTCATCATTGACCAGAAGCTCTGCTTTGTCAAGCACATTGACGCGATCACTTCGAGAGCTACAGCAGCCCTGGGATTCATCAAAAGATTTTGCTACGACATAACCGACGTTCAAACGCTCAAAACTCTATACTACGCACTAGTTCAGTCTCATCTTGAGTACTGCAATGTTGTATGGCTGCCAACTTATGCCATACATATCGACAAAATCGAGAACGTTTTGAGGAAGTTCACCCAGTTCGCCCGAAGAGAGTACCGTACAGCGGCCAACGGCTACAGTATCACCGACTACAACAAACGACTTGAGGCGTTGAACATGACATCTTTGGAGCGTAGAAGAGTGAATGCATCTATTGTATTCATGTACGACATCGTGAATGGGATCGCAAATTGTCCCAATGTACGTAACTACATAGCAATTGGAGAGAGCGTACGTATCTTACGGCACACAGACTACCTCAAGATCAAAGATAAGCTCATGGACAAACAAATCAGAGCTCAAGTGCCTCAATTGTGCAAGTTTGCAAACAAAGTGGCAGATCAATTTAACAACTCAACCAGCCGCGCAAACTTCATCTCGTCGGTACGCAGCGAACAAAACCAAAAGTTTAATACAAAATATTGACGAATTGTTATCTTACATCCCTACAAAATGTATAGAAATAATGATATTTATTTACACAAACTTTAAAATAAGTAGCAATATTATTTTGACCTGCCAATAATTTATAATGGAAACTACCGTTTATGTTAATGTATTTGCAAGTATTGTAAATTTTTTTTTCTTATGTCTTTCGGTCTCTACTAAATTACAAATTCATAACTACCAACAGGGACTTGTTAGATTAGACGTAAAACTTTTCTTCAATGTATTACCTCTGGATAAATTGAATGATGACTTTTGCAGTCATTAGGGCCGTCACTACAGTGTTAACGCTTCAGTTGGTCTTTCATTTTTTACACGTTTAAGTTAGGCTATATTGGACCGTTTACATTTCGGCTACCTATGCATTTCCATGTATTGGTTAGGTTAACTCGTGTCAATGCTTTTTAGACCAGTTTGTTATACCAATCGAGAAAGACTATTACAACTATTTATTGTATAAAATTACCATATATTGTACAAACACAAAAAGATCAGGTTTTTCACGACTCTTGGAGTCGTTTTCCTGCAAACCAAAATATTCAGCCAGTCTTTGGCGGTGTGAAATAAATAAATAAATATAGGGTGATTCATTTAAAACTTTTTTTTTTATTTTTGAATAAAACACAGAAAATTTAAATCGATCGCCAAATTTTTATTACCATCTGAAAGAACATTCTATGGCATTTACTTTTTGAAGATAATCCCTTTCAGATGTTGGCCATAACTGCGCTTAAGGTGGTCCATCCGGAAGTTCCAATTTTCGATGACTCTTTCGAGCATAGGGACCTGAATTGCGGCGATTTCTCGCGTAATGTTGGCTTCCAAAGCGTCAATCGTCGCTGGCTTGTTCGCGTAGACTTTTGACTTCAGATAGCCCCAAAGGAAGAAGTCTAACGGGGTGATATCGCACGATCTTGGTGGCCATTTGACCGGTCCGTTGCGCGAAATCAACTGTTCACCGAATTGACGTCGCAATAGCGCCATTGAAAGTCGCGATACGTGGCATGAAGCGCCGTCTTGTTGAAACCAAATATCGTCGAGATCACGGGCTTCAATTTCAGGCACCAACCAGTCCGTTATCATTTCGCGATATCGGTCCCCATTGACAGTAACGTTGCGGCCGGCCTCATTTCGAAAGAAGTAAGGTCCAATGATTCCACCGGCCCAAAGACCACACCAAACCGTTGTTCTCAATGGATGTAATGGCAGTTCTTGAACTTGTTCGGGTTGTTCTTCTCCCCAAATACGGCAATTGTGCTTATTTACGTGGCCATTGAGCGTAAAGTGGGCCTCATCACTGAACAAAATTCTGGTCGAAAACAGTGGATCTTCTTCCAGTTTTTCGAGGGCCCAAACACTGAAACGGTAGCGATTGGGCATGTCGGTTGGCTTCAATTCTTGCACGAGTTGAATTTTGTAAGCCTTTAAACCAAGATCACGACGTAAAATACGCCAGGTGGTGGCATAAGACAAGCCAAGCTGCTGCGAACGGTGCCGAATCGATTCTTCCCGGTCTTCGCGTACACTGTCAGCTACCGCCGCTATATTTTCAGCACTGCGAGCTGGATGTGGTCTATTCGGTCGTAAATCATCCAATAATGTAAATTGGGTTTCCAATTTGGCGATGGTATTCCGTATAGTGGGTTCCGTGGGTCGATGATGTTGACCATAAGTTGACCGAAGTCCACGAAACACATTCCTCACAGAACGCGAATTTTCGTAGTACAATTGAACGATTTGTAAACGTTGGGCTGGAGTGAGTCTTTCCATGATAAAATGCCAAACAATACTGAACAAAAATAGCCTGACAGTTGGACACGAATCACGCGTGATCCACGAAAAAATCCCTATTGAAAAAAAAACCTCTAAATGAATCACCCTTTACTAGTTACGCCATCTTTTGTGAAACGGCACGAATTAATTCACACTCCCAATAACTTTGATTTGTCTATGTTCATGTTTTTCAAAATACAAAATGTGAATATTAACATAAATACATCCAAGAACCGACGTGTAATCAAATAAATTGATTTTGCAGTATGACTATAAAACAATTGTATGGTCATCAAAATAAAAAATGATTTTATTTACCAGCTATTTCGATTGAGGATGATGGAGCTAATGACGACGGACAAACCATTTTTGATTTCTGAATTTAGGATTTTTTCATTTATATTTTCATTATGATATAAGTAAACCAAACGAATATTCTATTTACCCAACATTAACAAAAATATAAAACAACTTTTCGTCCCGTTCCACCTCATACATATGCGAAGAGGAACTGATTTCCCCGGGAGTAAAGGAAAAATTTCCCGGGAATTTTATAAAACTATCTACTGTATTTAAGTGCTTGGGAGTAGTTTTGCTGTTCTAAAAGAGGTGTTTCTTAAAGTATTTTGGCAAGCTCTGTCGAATGATATTCGTTTCACTTTCCCGTTGTTCTATGACCTATCCATGTCGACTTTTGGCGGAGAAATTTTGTGACAACGAAATATTTCAGCAACAGAGTTCAAAACACAACTTCGCCGATTTGCGGCAAACAGCCCACTGAATCATGTAGGTCGCCAAATATGCGGCACACAACAACACATTTAACACTATGACTGTTCTTCATATTTGCAACATATTACTGTTCTTGGGGGACTCCAGGGCCCCCAAGATACTTCATATGAAATCTGGACTGTGATAAGAGATAACAAATTAGTGTCTGCAGCAAAGTTGTAATACTCAAAGTTTGCTATAATTTTGGTGTAACAAATATTGCTTATCTCTTCAATCAGTTCCGCGAAAAACGCGAAAAAACGCGAAAATCGCAAAATTTTCCCACATCGTTTTAGTGAAGATGATAAGAAGTAAGAGACTTGCCTCTTCGACAGAAATGTAGAGCAGCTTGAGTACTACAAGTTCACCATAGACATGAAATCGTTATCTCTTATCAGTTTCGCGAAAAATGATTATCAAAAACTCGAATTTTTCGCGTTTTTTCGCGTAACTGATAAGAGATAACGACTTGATGTCTGTGGTGAAGTTGTAGTACTCAAGCTGTTCTACAACTTTGCCGAAGTTACCAAGTCGTTATCTTTTATCAGTTTCATGGAATACGCGAGAAATCGCGAAAAAACGCGTTTTTTCCTTATCATTTTTCACGGAACTGATAAGAGATAACGAGATGGCGTCTAAGGCAAAGTTGTATTTCTGGTTGAGTACTACAATTGTTCCGATTCATTATTTCGTTAACTCTTATCAGTTCCGTGAAAAAACGATAAGGAAAAAAACGCGTTTTTTCGCGTCTTTTTGCGGTTTCTCGCGTAATTGATAAGAGATAACGGAATAATGAATCAGAATAATTGTAGTACTCGACCAGAACTACAACTTTGCCTTTGACACCATCTCGTTATCTCTTATCAGTTCCGTGAAAAATGATAAGGAAAAAAACGCGTTTTTTCGCGGTTTTCTGCGGTTTCTCGCGTATTCCGCGAAACTGATAAGAGATAACGACTTGGTGTCTTCGGCAAAGTTGTAGAACAGCTTGAGTACTACAACTTCACCGCAGACATCAAGTCGTTATCTCTTATCATAGTCCAGTTATAATATAAAATAGCCATGGGGCCCTGTGGTCCCCCAAGAACAACAGCGTAACAAGTTTTGCGGCAGGCTGTATTTTACACATACTCACACATATGCATATGTTTTTTTTTCATTCGTGTAGAGAAATGTTCAATCTATACAATGAGACTTAACTCCGGTTGGTTTATACACTGTTTAGTACTTTTATTCAACTTTAAAGTTCGCTGGGGGCCCTGGGTGCCCCAAGAACAATCATAGTGTTAATGGCAATTCTACATGTCATGGTGTCTGTACCGTTTTGGAGATATGTCGATTGACGCCATTGAAAATGACCAACCATAGCAAAAAATGAATGTTGAAATTTTTGACATTATTTCAAGGTGAAACTATCATTTTATGATGTTTTTTTTATTTTGGATTTTTTGGCTTAACTTTAAATCGAAAAAGTAAAATATAGTATTTTTTTCAAAATTATCAATATATGCTTTATTTTCGCGGCGCGTATGTTTTTGAGGGGGTAGAATTGAAATTCGTTCGACAAAACATAATTTTTTTATACTTTCTTCACAACAAGTCTTGTGCAAACTTGAAAAAAATGTAAGGGAATGTAGTCTCAAACGGGCCGGCGGGTCAAACGGGCCACCACCGAAAATTTTGTCAGTCGACATATAAACGTCAGACTGATCAGTGTCAAGTGAATGAATCATCGATAGCTAAGTTTCAGTGTGGTTTTGAAGAGTAAAGACGTACACTGTGTATGATAAAAAAAATTCGTGTCGAAATTTTGTTAAAAAAAGTTTTCAGTGCATTTTGCCGACAACCATTGTGTGATTTCTTTTCGGTAATTTTTCAAGGTAAATATATCATACGTGTTGTGAAAAGTGCATATTTTTAGCGTATAAAGTCGATTTTGATGTTATTTCATCATGGAAAGTTTTTGTTGCGTCATGCAAAAATGACATGTTTTGGTTCAAACGGGCCACTTTTGTCGTCTCAAACGGGCCACCCAACATTTTTCTTGATTACACTGATACATAATTTCTATGATGTAATATCGTGTTCACTAGGGTGTTTTCGGTGATAAATAAACAGAAAATGGTAGTTTTAGTTTGATAGAGCAGAGAATTTGGAATCGATTTCATATATTTTTGTTCGGAATCAGTCCAAGATGCCACTTCCCACGAGCAAAACAAATGTTCGTCGAATTTTGAGGTTATATCACTATTCGCTGAAACTAATCTGATATTTACCACTTTTTTCGATTCAATCTCACTGCCAGAGATGAATTCTCAATGCAAACATTTATTTTCACGTAATTTTCATTGGAAAAAGTGGCCAAATAGTCGAAAATTCACACAAATTGTATTGCCCCTTTGACCGGATCTTCAATCATAGAAAAAACACCGACAAACTCATTTTTTTCACAGAACATCATTCAATGGGTTTGAAATAGACGATAAATTATCTAAATCCACTAAAATATCCAATCGAACAAAAGGCAATAGAATTTTTGTAAATTTTCGACTATTTGTCCACTTTTTCCAATAAAAATTACGTGAAAATAAATGTTTGCATTGAGAATTCATCTCTGGCAGTGAGATTGTCCAGCGCATCGAAAGCGAAGCCATCAAAGAAACCAGCCAAGCGACCAAAGAAGCAATCATCTTCGGATGAAGATGAAGATTTTTGCATCATCTGCATGCATATGTTACCAAAGAAGCTGACAAAGTCGAATTCCATCGAATGCAGAGTATGTTACAAACCCGTACACCTTGGTTGTGCCAAAACATACGCCAACAAGTTCACATGTAAAAACTGTCCTGCAAAAGATGATGATGATTCCGAAGTGGCCGATGATTCCGATGAATAATCATCTTCAATTTCCATGTCAAAAGCACATAATTGAATAAAAATTCAATAATCCGTCGAAATATGGTGTATTTATTTCTTCTATTTTTCAGATTTTGTGAGGTGGTCCATTTGACCCGGCAATTTTTTTTTTGCCATTTTCAAGGTGTTCGGAAAATTTGCGATAGTTTTTTTTTCTGCACTGAAATCTTAGGACTCTCTCAAGCAAAAAGTTTTCTTTTGAGGTCTCCATTCCAACGGTATATATATGTTATTCACATTATCCACTTTAAAAGATGTTATAGCGGTAAATCAAAGTGTGGCCCGTATGAGACTACATTCCCTTAATACCACCAGTTCATGTTATACACCGAATTTTTTTTTGGAGCATTGAAAAAATTTCATCGCAAAATTGGTGCACTGAGAAAAGGCTGGAAAGAAATATTCCAACCCTGCGTTGTAAATGTTGTCATTGCAGACGATTTTGTGAATTGTCCAACCATGGTTGGAATATTGACAGCATTCCCGCACTCGTCGAATTCCAACCATGGTTGGACTTTCTCAGTGTATGTATTTTGCACCAAAACCACTGTTTCACTTTACATCAATGGTGTATTTTGTGCACCAGCGGCAGACGTGTACAAGGTCAAAAATCCTAGAAGGGGGTAATTTTTTTTTGTGAAGACGTGCAAATGGTTTCCCAATATGGGAGTGACTGTTTCAAAAAATTTGCTAGGATTTCCTTTGGGTTTTTGGGTTTTTTGGTTTTTGGGTTTTTCTTTGGGTTTTTTGGTTTTTAGACTTTCAAAAACCCATAAAAACCCAAAACACGAGCAAATGTGTGCACAATGTCACTCCAATAGCATCGAGAAATTTGGTAGATCGGAGAAATAAGAGAATAGCCAGATCTAAGTCCGAGGACTTAGCCAATTTTCAAAATTCGCTAACCCTTTTCTAAAAAAAAAACCCCAAAAAACCCAAAATAAAAACCCAAAAAAAACCTTTTTAACTTCTAAAAAAAAACCACAAACCCAAAATAAAAACCCAAAAAACCCTTTTTAACTTCTAAAAAAAAATTCTAAAAATTTTGTCAATGGGTGTCGAAAAAAGACTGAAGACCTAAAAAACAAGGTCCTCACTTTCGAAAATCAATTCTATCTAGTGTAAAAAAATTCAAAATCGCTCGATGGGGGTCTTGATTTTCAAATTCTAGATGGGGGTAAAACCGTAAACCCCCTCCCTTGCACACGTCTGACCAGCGGTGTGTATTATGCACTACTTAATAAACCATGGTGCATAAATGCATTTATCATATATTGAAAGTGTCGAAATGCTGGTGTATCGTTTCACATTTGTGCCCACTGAGTGTATTGTGAGAGATTTCGATCCGTTGAAATTTTCAAACCGCAGCTTTTTGTATAAAGTTCAAGCGATGGCAAAGTCGAGCATGATATCTCAGGA